CAGATGGACACCTTGAGCTGGCACTGAACCTTGGCAATACGTACCTTCTATCACACCAACTCTATCTGGCTGGTTCCTCGGGTGAACTTCAGAAGTGCTCTAAGGATGAACGCTGGTCTGTGTGCATGCTGGCTGACTTGACTCAGAGCCTTGCACAGGCGTGTCTAACCTACATGTTGCAAACATCCCAGAATAATCACGGAAACAGCCCACCACATCTGTTCATAACAGCATTATGTCAAGCTGTTAAGAGATTGGAATTGGACATCTTTGGCCTAGTAGATAAATATTTTCAGAACAGGGGGACTTGGCTACAGCCCTGAGCGCTGAAGAGGGTCTGGGATTTGGGCCATATCATCAGTGATTTGTACAAAACACGTGCTCAGTGCCCTGACTACGGCAATCAAGGCACAGGTGCGCATGCTTGGAGTCTGGATGCTACAAGGGTACCACCCAGCCGTCCTCTCTTGAGTGCTTAAAGGGCCACACTCCAGGGAACTGCCTAGACCTGAACAAATCAGGACAACAGGTCACACAAGTTATGACATAATTGAACACGAGAGCAGAAAGCCCAGTCCATAGCTGGCTGTTGTCCGAAAAGCTGTGTTTGTGTTTGGCTTCAGAAAAGCAATCACACGTAGTGGTTCGAAACAAGGAGCCTGAGGGAATAGCTCAGTTAGTAAAGTGTTCGCCCTGTAATCATGAGGACCTGAGTTTAATACACAGAACCCCTGCTTTGAGAAAGAAAAAAAAATGATGGACATGGGAGCATGGATTTGTAATCCCAACTCCAGGCCGCAAAGACAGGCAGATTCGTAGGTCAGTCAGCCCAGCCTATTTGGTTCCAAATCAATAAGAAACAGAGACCCTGTCTCAAAAACAAAAACAAAGCAACAAAATCAAAAACAACAGCAGGGTAGATGGTACCTGAGGAACAATGAATGTCTGGGGTTGTCTGACTTCCATATGAGGGGCGGGGGTAGGGGGTGCGTGTGCTTGCATGTGTGTGTGTGTGTGTGCGTGCATGTGTGTGTGTGAGTGCGTGTGTGTGTGTGTGTGTTCTCTTGGTTGAAATATCTGCATAACATGTATGATAAAAACACTGACCAAAACCTACTTGAAGAAAAGACATTGAGTCCATCACTGAGGGAAGTCGAGGCAGGAACTGAAGCAGAGGCCATGGCAATGCTGCTTACTAGCTTGATCCTCTTGGCTTGTTCGGCCTGCTTTCTTCTACACCCCAGGATCACCTGCCCAGCGTCGGCATCATTCACAGTGAGCTGGGTTTTCCCACGTCTATCATTAATAAAATGCCTCAGACATGCCCACAGGCCAAGCTGATGGAGGCAATTCCTCAAACCTCCCTCTTCCTAGGAGTCTTTAGTTTGGGTCAAGTTGACAGAAACTAACCAGCACAGCAACTTCCACCAACTCACCCCCTTGGGCATCTCTGGCTGAAGCAGAGTGGCTGTCATTCAGGCTCCGCCCTGCACATGGCTCACCCCGAGAATCTGACTGGAAGGCGGACTCCAACACGAGAGGCCTGAAAGGGAGCTAGAATTCACCTGTCCAATCAGCGCCCAAGTGACTCTGGCTGCTGCTCTGAAACTAATATGTAGATTTCATTTGCTTTGATACCACAGCTCTCAAGAATGGTTGTACCTATTTCATACTCCAAGGGTTGTGTTTTAAGAGAGCGATTCCTCTGGCCTCAGCTCCATGTTGTAGACATGGATGACTTTCCTAACAGCTGCCATTAATCAGAGAAAGCCATCTGTATTCCCACCATATCCCTACTCCCGACAGTATAATCGACTTTTCCCAAAGATGCTCCCAACTTCAGAGTACATTATTGTATTAGTGTTTTCTAGAGGACCAGAACTAAAAGGATAAGTGTCTGTATGTGTGTGTGTATGTGTGTGTGTGTGTGTGTGTGTGTGTGTGTAAAGGTGATTTATTAAAATGGTTTATAGGCTATTTTCCAGCTAGTCCAACAATGGCTATCTACCAACAGAAGGTCCAAGAATCTAACAGTCACTCAGTCTACAAGGCTGGATACCTCAGCTGGTCTTCCGTAGACATCAGAATCCTGAAGAAGGAGGCTCTAATGCCGGTGAAGGAATGGACTTGCAGTGAGAGCGAGAGCAGGCAGGGCAAGACGGGAAGCTTCCTTCTTCCATGTCCTTTATATAGGTTGCCGACAGAAGGGTTGGCACAGGTGAAAGGTGAATCTTCCCACCTCGAAAGATCTGCATTCTGCCAGGCATGGTGATGCACGCCTTTAATCCCAGTACTCGAGAGGCAGAGGCAGGTGGATCTGTGAGTCCAGTTTGAGGCCGGCCTGGTCTGTGTAGCAATGAGTTCCCAGAACAGTCAGGGATACATAGAGAAACCCTGTCTCAAAAAAAAAAAAAAAAAATGGGTTAAAATGGATCTTCCCATCTCAAAGATAAGGCTTAAAAGTGAATCTTTCCACTTCAATTATTTAATTGGGGAAGGGATCCCTCACAGGTGTGCCCAGCCACTCCATCTTAGTTAATTCCAGATGTAGTCAGGTTGACAACCAAGAGTAACTATCATCACAGTCATGAGATCTGCTGTGGGTGATAGAGGAGGTGTCCAGCCCGAGAGCCTTCACAAAGGGAGAAGCTGGGCTCGGAGACGTGTAAGATGTTTCCAGCAAAGCCAGGTTTAGGGAATGACCTGGTTGACAAAGCCCTGCTATTGACCAAAGTCTGGGACCTGCGTTCAGTCCTCAGAAACCCACATTCAAAAGTCAGGTCAGGGTCACTGTCCCTGCCAGCCCAGCCCCATCCACTGGTTCCAGACCAAAAATAAATAAATAAATAAATAAACAGATAGATAGATAGATAGATAGATAGATAGATAGATAGATAGATAGATAAATACACCAGGATGAACAGCATCTGTATTGGCTAATCTTGGTTGTCAACCTGACATACTTGGGAAGGGGGAACCTCAAATGAGAATAGCCTCCTGACTGGCCTGCGGTCATATCTGTGGGGTATTTTCTTGACTGCTAATTGGTGCAGGAGAGCACAGTAGACCATATGCCATCCTTACACAGGTGGGCCAGAGCTGTATATGAAAGGAGGCTGAACGTGAGCCCGGAAGTAAACCAGTAAGTAAGCATGGATGATCCTCCATGGTCTCTGCTTTAATTCCTGTCTCCAAGTTTCTTCCTTGAACTCCTTTATTGGTGTCCCTCAATAATAGACTACAACCTAGAAGCCAAATAAACCTTTTCCTCTTCCTGTCGGTTTTGATAACCACATCTTGGGGTAACAGCAGGTGACCATCAACCATGTGGTTGGTCTGAGGCTGAGGAGTTTCCGGGGATATGGAACACAGCAACAGAAAGCAAACTAAAACAGAGACCGAGGAACAACACCTGAGGCCGCCACACGCATGCGTACGCAGGAGCACAGCCTCACACTCCTGAGAGCAGAAATACACTCATAATTTACAGCAGTTAGTTCGCGTCTCTCCCTCTCTCTTTCCACCTCCCCTGCCCCGCCGTACCCTCCCTAGTCCATGCCCCTGCCAGCACACTCTACTTTTTAATCCTCGCTAGAACCATCCATTATGCAGTCAAGGGTTGACGTCCAGTGATGTAGGAGACGACTGACATTTCAAATATTCCAGGCCCGATGGAAAATTCTGATCGCAGCTCACAGACACACATCCTCCCAGATCCTTCCTTGTTGCTTCTGGGCAATAATTATGCCCACCCCTTCTCCCCACCCCAACATTAATTTCCCCAAATTCATTTTTCATGCCTTTGACTTCCATCTTTTCAAAACAGAATATGTTTCCGGAGATGCCTCCCATCCCTCCCACCTCCCTCATGAATATTTCAAGTGTAGTAGCGATAGGATCACCCGACCTTAGAGACGCCAGCTTTATCTTATTTATCTCGCCAAGCTGCAGGAATCAAGTCCAAAGCATCCTCCGAGAGTTTGTTTAGGTTGTTTTGCTCTGGGCTACTGCTGCTGAACGTGTAAATTTTAAGCGGCAACCCCCAGCCCTGGGCTCAGGCCCTGGCCCCAGACACCCATTGGCCTGTGCCAGCCATCCTCCTCCAGGAGATGCCAGCCACGATCCTAAGCCAAGCGGCTGGTCTCCTAATGGGTCCCTGCTGTGGCATAAATCTATTCTGACTTCCATCCGTAGGAAGCCCAAAACTAACTCAAAGCGTGACCTTGGCTTTGAAGGGTATTCAGCTAGACAGGAGCCAAGATTCCTGGCTGTAAACACACAGCCCTTTCATCTCTTAGAGTTCCTGTATGTGAAGTGGCGAATAGGTTTGAGGGCCCTTTTCCAGGGAGGGGTTCACTTTTGCCCATTTTCCCATTTTGTGTATGTGTGTGCATGTGTATGCATGCATGTTTGCATCCGTGTGCATACATGTGAGGGGCTGTGCATGTGGTGGCCCCGCGTTGACATCAGGAATCATCCCCCATGGCCCTATAACCTTATTCATTGAGGCGAGGTCTCTCAATCAAACCCAGAGCTGAACAATATGGCTGCTACTCTAGCTAACCAACTTGCTCTGGGGACCCCCTGTCTCTGCAACAGCCACCATTTATGTGGGTTTGGGGGATTCAAACTCCAGTCCTCCTGTTTGTACAGCAATAATTTTAACCACTGAGCTGTCTGCTCAACCCAGATTCTCCAGCAGTCAGTGCTTATTTAGCTGTTTCTACCATTAACTTTGTTGGCTATGCAGCCCTTAACTACCTGTGCCCACTGACCAGCCAGGTCCTTAACTAACATTGTCTACCATTAGCCAGCCCCATGACCCATAACAAGTACCTATTCCATAGAATGTCTTTGGTTAACCATGTCTTGGAGTAACAGTAGGTGACCAACAACCATTTGGTTGGCCTGAGGCTGATGAGTTTCCAGAAATATGAAAATTTTAGTATCAAAACCAAGAAATTGGTTATTTATTGTTGTAGTATTATTTTATTGTTTTGTTATTTTAGTGTATTATTAATTGTTGTTTTTGTTAATATTTAGATTTTTGAGATGGGATCTCACTGTGTAGCCCAGGTTGTCTTCTGGCCTTCACATGAACGCACACAAGCTAGTCAGAATCCACTGTTGATAACTGGTTTTCTCCAGGGTGTAGGTAACTTTCTCCACTTCGCATCTTTTTCAAGAAGTTTCTATTTCTTTTTCTTCCCTTTCTTTTTCCTGCAATACAAGCATGTGATCAAAATAACCAAAAAGGGAGGGCAAGCTTCTGCCCCAGCCACTCTCTGAACCCAGGCCCTCTCCTCAAGGCAAGCAGCTCTGGCTCTGGCTTCTCTGCCTCTCAGACTGGCCCTGACACACTCAGCCTCTTTCCCAGGGCTGCAGGCTGAGGAACCAGGAAACATCCCACCTTTAACACTGACTGTGGGTTAAATACAGAGAGACACTGGCTCTGGAGCCACCTCTGCTGCTCAGACAGCAACTCTTCAATGCCTGGCTGTGTAGAACTGGGGCCCTGGGGGCAGACAGAGGAGCAGCCACTCACGCTTGCTGAGTCTTGGAAATGTTGCCACCACTGGCGTTACTAAATGTCAGCCCTGCCTGTTAGAAACTTACCAACTCTACAGTGAGGAAACCATCCAAGCAGACAGACTGGAAGAAAAGCAAGACATCTGGACAAACTCAGCTGTTTTGCTTTGAGCTTTCCTGGCAAGACTCTCTGGGGTCATGGTCAGTTGGTCCAGGTCAGAAAGGTTCATTTGGAATGGAAGGGATCTCCAGTTAATGGATGTAGATAGGTTTAGGGGCCCATGGCTATATCCAAGTGGCGGAAATGTCCAAACAGCCTGTGCCTTAGACAGAAAGGTGGTCGCCCAGCAGGTGCTGGCAGCTCTGCCTGCTGCAGGCCATCAGTGCCTGATGTCACCACCTGACAGGTGAGAGCTTGATTCACACCCCCACCAGTTGGCCTGGCTTGTCAAACACCAGTGACACTGGTATCCACCAAACCCAGACCTGGACCTAAGAAGAGAACTCAGTATTCCTAGAGAAAAGCAGTCCCCAGACACCTTAATGGGACAAAGAACGAGGGGACATTCCCTACAGTACCACCCAACCAAATGAAAGCCCCTTAGCCAGCCACGGCAACCCAAGCCAGCTTGGATCCCAGTGCTCAGGAGGCTGGATCAGCAGGATCTCTAATTCAAGCCAGCAAGACCCTGTTTCAAAACAAAACAAGAAAAATATCAAAACCCCATTCAAGAGAGCCAGGTAATTTGACAGAAAGATCCAGAACCGAGCAGTCAGACATACTGAAAAGAGCCTTGATTCTGCTTCCCTCGCCACTATGATCCTTAGGTTGCAAGTGACGGGAATCTTAAACAATTAAAGAGAGGGAATTTAGACTGAAGAGCTGACTCTTGTCAGTAGAGAGCTTGCTGCACGAACATCAGGACCCGAGTTCGATCCCCAGGACCCATATAAAAAGCCTAGTGAGGAAGGGCTGGAGAGTTGGCTCGGCAGTTAAGGGCGCTGGATGATCTTGCAGAGGGCCTGGGTTCAAATCCCAACACCTACATGGTCCCTCATGGCCACCTGTTAACTCCAGTTCCAGGTCATCCAATGCCATCTTCTGGCCTCCATGGGCATTCCACAAACACGATACACACACATACACACCGGCAAAACACCCGTACACATAAAATAGTAATAAACATTTATCTTTAAGGCCTGCTATGGTTCTTGTAATCCTGTCACTGGGGAGATGACAACAGGCACGTCCCTGGGGCTCACTGGCTGGCTGGCCTAACCAATCAACAGGTCCAGGCCAATGAGAAACCCTGTCTGAAAAAGAAATAAGTAATGAAAGTATGGGTGATACCTAAGGCAAAATACTTGAGAGCACTCTTGCTCTGTGTGTGTGTGTGCCTCTCTCCTCTCTCTCCTCCCCCCTCTAGCTCACACACACACACACACACACACACACACACACACACACACACCTAAGAAAACAGAATGAGTGGAATTCATATCATCAAAGAAATCATGATCTCATGGTTCAGGAGGACCGGAGGGAAGCTCTCCCTCCACAGCGGTAGAGCCCCAACATGGCTGTAGGTGAGCCACCAGGAAGCCCCAAAGCCCTGTGGCCAGACCTCACCTGTGTAAGTCAGGATTTCATGGGCTTGCATGGGGTCACCTGTCCCAGTGCAAAGCTCTTGAGTTGACTGTGAGCGCCAGTGTTTTGGCAAGGCCACTCCACGTAGGGTCCGCTGACCAGTGGCACCCATGTCCATGTCTCAGGGTGGCCCACCCCCACCCACCAACTCTCTGAACTGCAATCCACACCTGAATGCTCACTCAGAGCTGAATAACACTAGGTTGGAGGGTCTAAGAGTGGGCAGGCTGTAGCCACTCACAGCCCAGAGGCGCCCCTAAAAGCGTGGATCCCCACAAGACAAATCCTTAGCCACACTGCAGCCTGTCAGAGGACATAGGAGCTGGAAACTGTGCTTGGCAATCCCGTATACCCACAGGCAGAGGGGTTTCTCCTTAAAGAAGTAGAGTATGAAGTAGAGAAAAATCACACAGATTCAACATGGTGACTACAGACAGTTTCAGAAGGGGTGTGTCCAGCTACCACTTATTAAGTGCCTACTGTATACGGGGTACTGGCCCAAGACTCTGTGAAGTCGTGTGAACCTCTTAGTAATTCACAAGGAGCCGGGAGTGAACCGGCTCAGCGAGTAAAATGCACGGCAGAAAAGCAGGGGTCCTGAGTTCAGATATCCAAAACCCACTTGAGGGTAGACACACAGAAGATGAGAAAAGATTGTCCAGATGTCTTTGTAGCATTTCTTTTGCCCTGATAAACACCACGGCCAAGAGCGACTTGGAGAAGAAAGGGTCGGTTCAGCTTACAACTCTCTACCTACTCCATCCCTGAGGAAAACCAGGGCCGGAACTCAAGGCAGGAGCTGGTCCAGAGGCCGTGGAAGAGTGCTGCCCACGGCTTGCTCATCCTGGCTTGCTCAGCCTGCTTTCTTATACCACCCATGACCAATCAGCCCAGGGGTGGCACCACCCACCATGAGCTGGGCCCTCCCACATCAACTGTGAATTAAGAAAACACAACACAGGCTGGCCTGCAGGCCAATCTGGCGGGAGCATTTTCTCAGCTGAGGTCCCCTCTTCCCAAATAACTCTAGCTTGTGTGAAGTTGACATAAAACTAGTCAGAACTCCAGCCCAAAGTATCAACAGCACTAAGGTTAAGGACTCTGAATTAGGCCAACCATTGTAATTCATTGCCCAAGACAGAGTGCTTTTGAGAAGGCCAAGTCTGGACAGCAGGCATACAGGCAGGAGTGTTCCAGAGAACAAGAACATATGGTTATTCTCGTTTCAGCATGCTGTCCAAATGTGAGGCCAGACCATCAGCAGCAGAGGCCAAGAGGAACACACACCTGCGCACACAGGCATGAGTGCACACACACGCACACACTCGCGCGCACACACCTCTGCCAGTTGCAGGATTGCAAAGATGCTTGTGGCTTTTACTCTTCTGTCTCCCCTCCTTACTTTGGTGCTGCAGTCAAACCCCGACAGCCCCCTCCACGAAGTCACTAAAATCCATCTCAGGCATCCTACCTAACCGGGACTGCCCGGTTGTCTTTCTCACGGGCAATGTTTGGAAATTGTGTCTCCGGCATGGCAAGAGGCTGCTGCCTAGCGGGATGGATGGAACTCCCACCCCAATTAACTTGCCATAGCCCTGATGGGCAGGAAGAGGCAGCCGAGGCAGAGGGGAGCAGAAGCCTCATGGGTGACTCCAAGGTTCCTTTTTCATCTCGGAAGAGGCAATTTCAAACTCGCCTCGGGTCATAAAAGAAATTAATTTGATTCTCTCGACCTTGCTCTGAGTGGACGCATGTCCTCCACTGCAGCGTCTGCTCGATCCAGAATGAAGGGACCGTCCCCTTGAAACGATTCCCGTGTCAGGGTTGAGCCAATATCGTTTGCCTGGAGTCTGGAGAGCAGCTGCCCAGAATCCTCCGAGCAATCTCTTTTGCCGGTAAGTTTCTCAAAACAGTTCTCACATTAAGGGCAAGTGCCAAGCCACAGGTTGCTCTCAAGGACATGTGTCAGCAGAGACAGCACTTGGCATGCCCCCCAAGAGAGGCTAGCTCTGGTATCCACCTCACATTAGTCATCACAATCATGTTGGACCTTGTATGTGCTAGCCGTGGTCCCCATCTCCAACTCCCGATTGTTAAACTCAGTAGTGGTGGATGCATTTAGGGTTGCCCCACGGTGCCCCTCTCCCCCAGAGCAAATGGAGCCTTACATTTGCTTTGAAATGGTTAAGGCATTCTGTTCTGACTCCCATTTTGTTTATGCTTAGTTAGCCCTCTACCCCCACCCCTTCCGCAGTATCACAACTGCCTTGGCAATACATTTGAGATTTCCATGGTCTTGACTATTGTCCAGATGTATTTACAAAAGCAATTGTCAAATTGTGTCTAAAATAACTACTATGCTCTGCCAGGAATGAACGTTTCAAGGTTATTCGGACCCTCATTTAGCTTTGATCTCTGTGCTTTTTGCCTTTAAAAGCGATATATCCCTGAACTTGGGCACCAAGATGCTTTCTAGAAGCGTTACCCCACTCTTGGTCTGGGCATTAACAAAAACCTCAAAACTCTTAATGGGCTTACTCATCATGGTTGTCAATAACAACCTGACGTATATCGTTACATTGGGGGCGGCAGGGGTATTTCCCGATGCCCCGTGGACTCAGCCTTGCTCTGGGCAAAGGAGAGATTTCAGGGAAGGCGACCCCTAACAAATACATGTTCCAGGGCCCCGTTCTTCTCATTGAGTCTGGAAAGGTCTAGAACGACAGCTGTTTCCCCAAGCACGAAGACCAACAAGAGTCCTTTTGACACACAAACTGGTTAAGTTTGCGTGCTGAATTCAGTTCAGGTCTGGTTGAGGTGGACGAGACCGACGGGGAACCTTCTGGATTAGGGTAGGACTTCTCTGTATTGGGGTTAGGCCCAAGCTGGTCCTTTAGGGAGCCCTCTGATTTGGTGCCCCCACACTAACTTTGCAGGGGACCCTGTATTCTGGTCATGTCTCTCATGAGAAATCCGGCTTCAGGTTTGCTTGAATGAATGGCTGGCCAACTGTGTAGATAATGTAAATTACTAAACACATGAC